ACTGAGTCTGCAATCTCCAAGACTGGATCACAAATTCAGACTTCACGGCCACATCTAGCCTAAATTTTATAAGTTTCTTTGTCTCTCATGCCTGCTATTTACTAGTGAATCAGGGAAAGAGTTATAGAGCAATCAAAAATTTGTACTCTCACTTGTGACATTTAGATTCATCCAAAGGGACTGCACAATAATGAATCTGAGATTTCCCCACTCCAGATCAATATAACAATCTTTGTCTTTTAAAAACATCTTAGTGACTGTTTTCTCAGAAAGCTCCACATTCAGGTCTCATATTCCATATTCAAACTGCAAAAGGTACTTCTCTCTCATCTACTGCTTAGCAATCATACTGGGAGCTACACAAATTTCAGGAGCTTTGAGCAATTTATAATAATAATCACGTGCCATCAAGTCAATTCTAACTTATGGTGACCCTTTCCAGGGTTTTCCAGGTACAAAATACTCAGAAATAGTTTACCATTCCCTTCTTCTGGGGCCATCCGAAGACTGTGCAGCTCGCCCAAAGTCACACAGGCTAGCTCTCACAGGAGGTACAGTGGGGAACTGAACACCCAAACTCTGACTCTGCGGCCAGATATCTAAACTACTGAACTATCCAGCCAGTAATTTTTAACCATTAAAAATGAATTCATTATTATCCCACTGTCAATCATTAAGTGCCAGGCTGTAGAAAGACAGCATTTTCATTAAACAAGGAGTGAATGTACATTATTGGAGGGACAAGCCACTCTGCTTGCTCTTTAAAATGATACCACTGATTATTATTATGAAATACCATGTCTACAAGGTGTGGCAAAGGCTTCTGGAAGCTATTCAGTTATTACTATATATGCATTCTGCTACCCACACTGAATCAGTTTACAATTATTTTCATTTCAGAACAGAGACGGAATACTCTGTCACAAAAATTACCTAATGGAAAGAGTCTAGAATACTGCCAGCCTCATAATGCATGAGCAAAAAGTGGTATAGATATGGCAAAAGATGACAGAGTCAGGGAATGAAAGACTCCAGAAGAATAACAGACTAGGTATGCATGGCTACAGCTTAGTAAATTATCCAGAGGTGCATGCTGAAAAACAGAGGCTTGCATGAGTGGCAAACCTTTGTACAACTATCACAGGTGACACAAACAGACAGGCATGACATCACACATTGAGAGAAGTGTGCATTTTCTGTTATTACAATGTTTTTCTTCCAGTCATAGTTTCTTCCAAGTATGTCTGAGGTATTAAATTGCAAGTGAAACCCATGTTTATCTCCTGATGACCAATGACAAAGCAAAAGCAAGCTAATTTGCAACATGTGGATTAAGACAAGCTCATGCTAGTATAAGCAGACATGTAGAACTCTGGAACAAATACAAGAGGGATTATGGACCTGAATATAGCATACATGAGCCGTCCCCAACACAAGTCTCTTTTGTTTTACATGCAACTTCTACTGTTCTGGCCCTTAAACATGCTGGTTGGGATTGATGGCAGGTTTTAGGCCAAAACGTCTACATCTACAATGCGCAAAGTTGATATCAAGTCATTCCCACCTGCCTCTTTCATGCTGTGCTGCTGCCTGCTTTCGAACTGAGCAGAGCAGACTAGGTTAGAGGCATAACCAATGGGTCTCCATAATACATAGGAAGAGGAATAGTGTTATCTTATCTTGACCTGACTTTAACATACTTGAAAATAAGATTGACCTACAAGCATTTTATACCTCTGAGGCATACTAAGCACTAAAGCAGAACTCAGCATGAAGCCTCTACATTCTCCAAGATACATTTCTTTAATCCTTATGGCTTTACGCACATAAGGAGGTTTGATGTCACCAGATTTTGAAGCACAAGTGAGCATGCTATTCTTTTCTGCATTCTGAGTTAGAAAATGTAGAGACGAACAAATTATACAAGTAAATCTACGGTGTTTCCATGTGAGGCAATTATTTCCTGCCTCATTCATTAAGTCCACGAGATTTCTAGCTGATGATGGCTCCAGAGTGCAGCACTCCTGTGTTTTCCCTTCAGAATCTCCCCCACTTTTTAAATCTTTCTTCTTACTAGAGAAAATCTCATCAGGAAAAAAGATGGAATAACTCCAGAATGCTTTTACATTGTGAGCAGCAGGGACTCACTGTCTGGAAGAAATCCCTGGATCAAAACTGACAGAACAACTCAAAGCACAATATAGTATGTGTGATTACAAAAAATTAAATTAACTCGAACACATTATCTGAAAATGAAAAGGCATCCTTATTTTTCCTGAAATCATTTATTTAACCAAAGTTGACCTGCATTTGATAGAGAAGAATAGTTAAAAGGGAAAAAAGGGGGGTGGAGTTTTGCCAGGCACTTTTTTTTAGCCCTGCAACATTTAGAATGCATTCTTTTGATGAGAAGTGTCTCGTACTTGTGACTGAAGCCCACCCAAATACAGTACTTCTTAAATAAAGCAGGCAAGCTTAGGATGCTTCTTTATACCAGATTATATAATGTACCTATCAAGTTTGATTCACATGGATCTCCAGGCTCTCAAGCTGATGATCTGTCACATCACATATAACCATTTTTTTAACAAGACACAGCAGAGATTGAACATCGGACTGCCTATACACAAAGCATGTGCTCTACCACTAAGTGACAATTTCTTTGTAAGCTAAGTAGTCTAGAAGGCAATGCCTGGAACTTCTCTTGAAGACAGTTCAAAAAAAATGTCACACATTAGCAGAATCATGTCAACAGCCTTCCCCTTACAGATGTTTTGGACTGAATATCCCATAACTATCAACCAATATTTTCACCCTCCCAATTCTTGTCCGCCAGATACTAATACAGTGGTGCCTCGCACAACGGGTGCCTCACACAACGATGAATTCACACAACAATGCCTTTTTCTGTTAAATTTGCCGCCTCACACAGCGATGTTTCCTATGGGGGATTTTCACACAACGATCTCCCTTTTCGCTCCTGTAAAAGTGTCTTACAATGTTTGGAAGCTGTTTTAAATGATTGCAATGGTTAGTCCACCTCCTGAAACCTATGCAAACTGATTTTGGTGTTGTTTTGACACTTCGTTAATTTATGATGATTTTTTGTTTTTTCCATTGGAAACCATTAGACAGACCATCCAATGGTTTCCAATGGAGAAAATTCAAAAAATCATCATAAATTAACGAAGTGTCAAAACAACACCAAAATCAGTTTGCATAGGTTTCAGGAGGTGGGCTAACCATTGCAATCATTTAAAACAGCTTCCAAACATTGTAAGACACTTTTACAGGAGCAAAAAAGGACTTCGCAAAGACATTGAAATGTATTGAGTCGGCTTCAATACATTCCAATGAAGGAAACATTGTTTCACACAGCGATGTTTCCTATGGGGATTTTCACTCAGCGATGGCAATCCGTTCCAATTGGAACGTATTAACCGGTTTTCAATTCATTCCTATGGGAAATGGTGTTTCACAGAACGATGTTTCACACAACGTTGATTTTTTTGCAACCAATTAACATCGTTGTGTGAGGCACCACTGTATTTAGAAATCTATTACCTAAGATACTGCAGTATGCATATACATCTATCTTGGGATTGGAACCAATAGCTGTTTCCTCCATGAATCTCTTCAAATCCCATTTAAGGCTGCACATATCAGTGGCAATGACTGAATCCTGAGTGAACAAATCCCATGGTGTAGAGATAAATATGGTGTGAGACCAGGGACCATTGTGTTGATACTTGCTTTCTTGCCATTTTCCTTTTCCTGTTGACCAAACAGTCTGAAGAAAAAAAACAAGAGGAAGATCCAGAGGCCTTACATGGAAATTAACATGCTGTCTGCTAAAGCTGCCTCACTTGGCAATGCTGTCTGTAGCACTAGAATATGTACCGCATTAATGTTAATTAATGCCTCTTGTGATACTAATGTTCACCCAGCCAGCCAGGACTGGCTCTACTTTAGTAAAACCAAAGGCAATTGCTTCAAGTAGTGGAATGGTAGGGCAGCAAAGCTGCCTTGGCACAGACTTTTATTGCTCTCCTATACAACACCAAAAGGAATTTTGGACTTATCATCCTGTTTTGCACTGTTCCTTTCATGTCCAATAATCATGGCATGCCTCCTCCCTAAGACCTGGCTGTTAGAGATGCTGCTGGCTTTTCTTATTGCCATTTCTCCAGTGCCATACATTTAATAAGATATGATCCAGTGTCACCAGAGCCAAACTGTGTAAATTCTGCAATTTAATTATGCATTTTAAAGAAATTAGCATTTCAACAATGTAGCTTAAAGAAATTCTTAGAGTTTCCTACAAGTGGTCTCAGACACTGAAGTATTATTGGCTTTGGATGCAAAAATAAGTCCCCTTGCCCACTGTCAGTCAGCAAGAGACATCTGCCTTCACCAACGGAAATAAAGTTAACTGGGAATTTCTCAACTTCTTGTATTAGAAGCGAAAAGTTAGCTCCATCACTGGAGATACAACATTGTAGTCAGATGGAAAATACGTGAAGGAATTAATGAAGTCAAAGAAATGCATGTACACCAAACAAGAGAGCAAACAAAGTCATGCATTCAAAATCTAATTCCATTTCTTCAAGAGCACCCCCCCATTCCAGGAATAGTTGCAACTAGCCATTTAGGCCCTAAAAGTAAGCTACTATGATTTGTACGGTGACCAGATATTTAAAAATAATGGAAATTCTGTGTCAGCTGAGACATTTAACAAGCTGGGTAAAAGAGAAAGCCAGAATCTTCTACAACAAGATTTTACCTTGTAAAAACAAGATTGGATCATTCTTATAATTCTACTTGTATCCACACCATTACCTACATTATTATAATTATTCACCTTTTTTGTATGCAAGTAATGTATAGCTGCTTAAAAGGAAGGCACAAATTCTTTAATACAGGTTTCTTTGTTGTTGTTTTAAGCATCCCTCTTTCCTGCCATGCAGTATGAAACACAGGTATCTTACTTAAAGACTTACCTTCAATTCATTCCTGGTGGGAATATAATCTGGACTGGATAGGAAAGTATAGAAGCATGGAAAAGCAACAGGTTCTTCCAAAATGCTTGACTGTATATGGAATATGCAGAACCTGAAAAAGTCAAAGAAAAAAGATTTCATTTCATTGGTTGGTTGGTTGGTTGTATTTATATGCTCCTTTCCTCCCAGAAATATACAGTACTTGTTTGCCTCACAAGTAAATAACGGCACTAGCATTTTTTTCCTATTTTCTCCCCAGAAAGAAACAACACTTCTTGGTATATTAAAAGCTCCTCTTAGGGATGTGAATTAGAGCATTTAAAATAAGAAATATCTGCTTTTCAAATGATTAAGAATGTACATATTGTACTGATGAAGCAGACAAAGATCCACCTGGTGTCTCACCCTTTTTCTAAAGCAGTTTAGCCAACTCTGGATCTTTGGGATATCTCAATAATAGCTGTGTGGCTAGCCTTTGTTCTCCATACTTAAGAGTCATTCTGTATTCTGCAACAATCTACTTCTTTCTTGATATACTGAAGCAACAAAAAGGCACATATAATAATCACAGATAGATCTTTTAGTTTTAGTTTTAATATTGGTTGTCTCTAGACTGGGACATAGGGGTACTCTAGCTGCAATCCTATAATTGTGTATCAAGGAATAAATCTGGAATAAATCATGCTGAATTCAAGCAGATTTCTGACTAGACATGTATAGGATTGCACAGTAAATCAGTCAACTAACAATCATTCATTAGCAATAGAGAAGCCAATGGTAGTTATTTTAGTCATCACTGACCTATCCCATTTATTCCAATGGAACTAAAACATGACTAATTTACTCTGAATATAACCCAGTTATATTGAAGCCACCTAAGAAACAGAATTCTGGAGTTAATTCTCCAAATCAATTATGTGTTTAATTGCATGCTAGTTCCTTTCCTTGATTCTAAATCTGCCATCAAATACCATTTTACTAAGAAACCAGAGCTTTCTTCTCTATTTTTGTTCCTTACTCTTTATAAATATCAGGCTTTTCATTCTCCTGTAATCTTTGTTGTGATTTACAGCAACCTTAACAGAGCTTTCAAGGTGAATGAGATGTTTAAGGTGCGGTTTTGCCAGGTCCACATCACCAGTGAATTTCCATGACTGAGAAGGGATTTACATTCAGAATTCCGGGAATCTGTTCTTACATTCTGTTTTCTACACCACACTGGTTAACTTCCTGTAGCCTTTACCGTCTTCTAAATTTTAAGGCTTGCACCCTTCTCCATGTGTAAATGTTCCAGTTTGCTAGACAGTATGACTTATTTACTAGATTTGCAGAAAGAGAGAGGAAGGTTTCTTGAGGCAGTCTTTCAATTGCTTATTGACCTTTCATCAGTCTCCCTAGTTCTCCTTCCAAATTCAAGGTCATGAAAAAAATATTCTTCACATTTAGGATGTTTTAATATTTTTGCTGAGATATTTAGTCGTCAGGATAGAATTTTGACAGTATTGTGTTTGTCTTTTAAAAATGAAAGCAAGCACCATTAAAATGTCAAAATTGACTGCAGGAAGGTCAGCACTTCTGCTCTGCAGCTGAGACCTATATAATCCAAATAATCAGAGCAGCACTACAAGTCCTTGGGGTAAACACTGGCACATTTTTCCATAGGAAAAAAATCCTCTTCTCTCCATAGAAACCTGTTCTTGTTTAATATCTCTTTATAAAATTTTTAAAGCTCTGAAATTTACCAAGGTAACCTTGTTTTATTTCATTTCTATCACTAAGTATACCTAGCGCTATGCTAGTAACCAGCGGCCACTCATACATCTTAAAAAGATTGCTGAGATTCTGGAAATACTGCAGAAAGTAATACAGCAAAAAGTCACACAGTAGACAATGCTTGCAGAACCACTTATCTTGGCATATAAATCTCGAAGATTTATTACATATAGACTCACTGCAAATTGCCTATGCAGATTGCACTTGTGATGAACAAGATGACACTAAATTTTCCAGCTTGATTAAATCTCCTAGAAAACATGGCAATGAATACAAACCTCTGTGACGGAAATAAATGTTTTTCCCTTGTACTGGAATAACTATTTTAGCGTGTGAATTTTATTAGAAGAACAAAGAGAGAAAAAGAGAAACAATGAGGTGATTCAGTTATTTAATGTCTCAGTGGCAGAAATTCCCTTGGCTAGCATAGTAAGTTGTAGCTAGAATAGGCCCGTTAAATCAGTGAGGATCTGGTAACTCCTTTGTAAATTCCACTGATTCAATGACCTACTCTCCTGGTGATTTGCTACACTAAGCAACAGGATTTTAGCCAGCTTGTGCAAATGCAGGTTTGCACTGATGCAAGGCAGCTGTTTTACAGTGCAGGTATATTTTAATGTCCAAAATCTGATCACTTAGAAGAGGCACATTTAAAACAAACAATTCACTTGCTAGAGGTAAGCATGCTAACAAATTTCTGGTGTGATGTTACATGTCGTGTCAGTGTTGTTAGTGCAGTAGAACTCCCATATCTGTGGAGCATCTGTTCCACAATCTACCGCAAATGCCTGAAAACCATGGATAGGGGCAAACTTTATAAAAAAACATGTAAGGAGATAGAAAAAAGGCCACAAAACCCACCCCCTTGTATGTTGTGTACAGGGCTGTAATAAATCAAGGATATAATCCTGCGGATGCAAGGGTCTTACTCTCTAATGTTTAGAATGTTTGTAATAATTTCCTGTGGTCTAAAAGTGCTGTCTCCTCTTAGTGTCATAAATAAATGCTCACCCACTCACCAGCTGCAGTGCACTTCCCTCCTCTGCTTTCTCCACGACTGTTTTCTCATTGCCAGTGATGCAGATTTCCCTGCCCCATCTCCTCATCTGAGTAGACAACTGCACAGAGAAGGCAGAGGAGGGAAGCATCCTGTAGCTGGTGAGTGGGTGAGCATGCAGAAGAGGCAGGGGAGGGAAGTATATGGCACCAACAGAACACTTATGCTTGTGCTGCACCAAACTGGGCTGAGTCACCAAAGCATAGTTCATGCCCAACTCCAGTCATACACCACCTTTATTACCAAACAGCATCTGATATGTTTAAAAGTTTTTAAACACACAACAGGCATATGTCGACTCAAGACTACCACTGTGTACAGTATTCTAATGGACAACCCCTTCTTTGAGGATCCTTCAAACATAAATTCCAGTGGTGTCATGATGCACCAATAATGTGTTCTATCCCTGAACTATAATGGTTCCCTTAAGCATCAAGATGCAGTTTATATTTTTAGAATTACAATATATTTTTGTCAGTTGCACACTGAATATGTAGGCACACATCAAACAATAAAGGAGAACAATAAATGCAGAAACTAGCCTTGGGGGTTGTGGGCGAAGAGTGGAGTAGAGTTGACTTCCCACCCCCCCGTCCGAAATTATCATCTCTGAACTGGTGGGAAGCATGATTCAAATTTGGAAGGATCACCAGAAGCCAGTTTAAATGGACGTGTGAGTACTTTTCCAGTCAGTTATCCCTGATGTAGTTTACTTCTTACTGTTCTAAAGATGGATAATTAATTGCCAGATGCCTGCAACATGCATTGTTCACTGTGGTTTCATACAAGCTGGCAATGTTTCTGCTACTGTGATTACCCCAAAAATATTATTTGGCAAATACTGAAAAGATTAGGAGTAACTCCTCCACACTGCTAGATTACTTTTGATGTGAGACAGTAATTCATGCCAATGAGAAGAAAGCTCAGCACCAGGCAGCAATTAAAAATAAACACAGTTTTAAAACAGAGAAGTGTCATTTTTTAATGGAATGTCTTGTGCTGAAGAACAGCTGTTTTGTTTCAGTTGTTTATGATCACAACTCAGCATGTAGTAATGTAAAAAAAATGTTACTGTTGGGATTTAGAAGAGCAGTCGTGCCCTAGCAATAAGACATCATTCTGACCCATCTGTGATTAAATCTTTGATGAAAAATAGATGAAAACTTTTTATCTGTAAGCACTACTGGGTTTTTGAAAATTGCTTAAGTTTCAAATGCAGATAGAGATGAAAAACAAAGTGAAGAGAAACATTGCATAGAATTTGAGTTTTTAGAAGTTTCTGCTTGTGTGCAAGGTTTGCTCTCTCTACATAACAGCGGAGAGCATGCATATAAGTAGAAAAGTAAACATGCTATTGGACAACATTTTTTATTGCGGGACACATGCAGCCTGCCTAAAGAAAGGTGCAAAGTTTGTGTTTTTCCCCCTTGATTCTTACTCATTGTTCCTTCAATGTTTGTCCTAACTGTAATTCTGTAGAACTAGGGGTCAAATTGTATGTTACGGAGATAGCATATTTCCTGCTTCTAGCATATATTTGTCCTGAAGTGACAGGATTTCTTCAGAACTGTCTGTAGACTTGCAACTTTAGCCTATGGTTACAGTGGTGCCTTGCAAGACGATTGCTTCGCATAACGATGAATTCGCTTTACGATGAGGTTTTTGGAGCGATCTTGCACTTCGTTTAACGATGTTTCCTATGGGCGATTTTCACTTTACGATGTTAGGGACCTTGCCTCGCAAGACGGTTAAATTTTAGGTCCCTGTTTTTCACTTTACAATGTTTTTGACAGCTTGGCCTTGCTTCGCTATACGAGTCTTTTAATGGTCTCTGTTTCGTTAGACGGCTGTCTTTGCTTGGGAACCGCGTTTCACTTAACAATTTTCGCTTTACGATGACAATCCATTCCCACTGGAACGGATTATCAGGTTTTCAATGCATTTCAATGGGAAAATGTGTTTCGCAAGACGATGTTTTTGCTTAACACCGATTTTCACGGAACGAATTAACATTGCCTTGCAAGGCACCACTGTATTTTCTTATTGTCAGTCACAAAACAAATCAATGCAACAACTGGTCTCCAATATTTCTCAGATGACTCTCTTAATATTCATTCATGATCTGGAAGCCTAAGAACATGATGGCACTCCTTTCTTTCAACAATTCATTCAAAAGTTCCCACCTATATACTGAAGGGAGCTAACAAGAAGATCCTAAATTAATAATTGAAAACATCCCTTACATTTTAATACTAAAACAGCAGCCATAAAGTTTTTTAGAA